CCTGTCTCAGAAAGCAAAACAAAACAATAACCCTTGGGAGTCAACAAGATGACTCAGTGGGTAAAGGTGCTTGCCCCAAATTTGACCAACATGGTGGAAGGAGAAAATTCCCAGAAGCTGTACCCTGGACTTACACATGCATTCTGTAGCATGTGTGCCACCCATTGCCTACACAAAATGAGTAAGATAAAATGTACAAAAATAGTAATGATAATTAATGAATCCTCAGGTGGTGGTCTCAAAAAACAGAAACAAGCCAGGAGTTAGAGGCTTGCTTCTATAATCTAAGCTTTTGGAAGACTGAGGTAGGAAGACCTCCATTGGTTTGAGACCAACCTGGATTACAGAGTCAGCTCCAGCTACAACGAAGAACTGCCTTAAAAAACAAACTACAAACAACAACAGCAAGGGCTAGATAGTATGCATGAAGTCCTGAGTTTCCTTTCCACACCATATAAAAAGATGTAGTGGTCCAAGCCAGTCTGCAATCCCAGCCCTCAGGAAGCAGAAACAGGAGCATCAGAAATTCAAGTTCTGGGGCCTGTGGGATGTCTCAGCAGGTAAATGACTTGACAAACAAGTCTGATGACCTGGGTTCAACCCCAAGGACCTATATGGTGGTAGAGAAAACCAACTTTTTCTGAGACAGGGTTTCTCTGTATTGTTTTGGAGCCTGTCCTGGAACTCACTCTGAAGACTAGGCTGGTCTTGAACTCACAGAGATCCACCTGCCTCTGCCTCCTGAGTGCTGGGATTAAAAGCAAGCATGAGTCACCACCATTCAGTAAGGGTTCTTTTAAATCAATCTAACACAATTCCTTTCTACCTTTCTAAAACAGAGTACTAATGTACTAATTCCACATGGAATTTACATCTGGGTATACTCAGCACAAGTAACCTGTATTGGACTGGCAGGGTGTCTGAGGAGAGGCAGGAGTGTGTTTACACAGCTGCTCTGCAATGCCTTGCAGGACAACCTGTTACGGATAATGTACCTACCTTCAGCTTTCCTGATGCTATTCCAACTTGTGCTGACATCTGTGTTAATGGATGCGGTCTCTTTAAGAACCGGTTTGGTAGCCCGCCCTCTAAAGGGATCAGGAGGAAGAGAGTCATGTGACTCCGAGCTGATTCCGGCTGAGTTAGACTTAGTGCGCGGGCGGCTGTATGTGCCGCTGTTGGGGACCTTACTGGGGCTGGGTCCCCTGTGCCCCAACCCCATGGCTCCTTTTGAGTCTTGTGTGTGCAGCTCCATTTGGCCTACTGGGAGAAGAAACTCGCCAGGTAAGGATTCTGGAACTAAAGTAATAGATGCTTCCAGAAATATAAACGCTCTGACGATGACTGGAACTGGATGGGACAGTGGAGGGTGGAGGGTGGATGCGAGAGAAGTATCAACCCAGAGAGACAGCATGGAGCCATGAGTACTAGGAAGACTTGTGGAGGAAAGCATGCATGACTGCTTCCTGCCTCCTGGTGATGTCAACCATGGTTCAGCCATTATAGCCCAGGAACAGGAAAGTTTGGAAATTTAAAAAGCCTCTTAGCCCTGTGCCTTAACCATCTCACCAAGGTCAGGGAATCCTGGATCTGTCCTATCTCTTCTCAACCCTAAATCTGCCCCTGATTCCAGGATCCCTCAATTTCCACACATTCCTAGGCCTCAAAAGTCCTTGCTATCCCTGGCATTGCGCAGGGCCTGTCCTCCACCCACAAGCTGCTGCTTTGCCCGTGACCACCTCTGATCTTGTTCTCTCCATCCCACTACCCCATGTTCCAGATATCCATGAAGGTTATTTCCAGCTGGCCAAATCCCCAGAACCTGCTTCATATCCGGGCAGTGGGCACCAACTCCACCCTGCACTATGTATGGAGCACCCTGGGACCTCCAGCTGTGGTTCTGGTGGCCACCAACACCACTCAGAGTGCCCTGAGTGTCAACTGGAGTCTCCTGATGTCTCCTGATCCTTATGGGGGTCTGATGGTGCTCCCCAAAGACAGCATCCAGTTTTCTTCTGCTCTTGTCTTCACCAGGGTGAGGGGGCTGGAAGAGCTCAGAAAGAGGAGCATGGGCGGAGTTAGTTCTACCCTAGGGGAGAGGGAAGGGTTTAAGACAGGGAGGATGAAATGGACACAGTTTGGGGTGGGTTGAGTGGGGGAGACATGCAGAGAAAGCCAGAGGAGGCAAGCCCCGTTCTATTCCACCCTGTCCCCAGCTGCTTGAGTTTGACAGCACCAAGGTGTCCAAGGGGGCAACCCAGCCCTCAGGAAAACCGTATCCTCCCTACTCCTTGGCTGAATTCTCCTGGAACAATATCACCAACTCATTGGATCTTGCCACTCTGAGCGCCATTTTTCAAGGCCATCCTGTAGACGAGCCTACTGGAGCATTTGCCAATGGCAGCCTGGCCTTCAAGGTGAGGTTGTGGGGAAGGAACTAAAAAAGCTGATTTTTGAGGATGGGAGAGTCCTTCAAGCTCTGTTCTCCCCATATCACATGGCCTCCTTCTCTTTCCTAGGTCCAGGCCTTCTCTGGATCTGGCCGGTCTGCCCAGCCCCCTCGCCTCCTGCACACTGCAGATTCCTGTCAGGTAGAAGTCTCCCTGGATGGAGCTTCTCCTCGTGGAAACCACTCCGTGTTTGGGCTAGAGGTCGCCACCGTGGGTACCGGCCCTGACTGCCCATCAGTGAAAGAGCTGCACTCTATTGATGACGAGTATGCACCTGCTGTATTCCAGGTCAGGGTCCAGGGGAGGCAGATGGGTGGGAATATAAAGTGGGATGCAGTTAGCACCCCAGAAAAAGCAACCAACCACTTTTTGTTTGTTTGTTTGTTTGTTTTTCAAGACAGGGTTTCTCTGTGTAGCTTTGGAGCCTATCCTGGCACTCGCTCTGGAGATCAGGCTAGCCTCGAACTCACTCAACCACTTATTTTTTTTAAAAAATGTGTGTTTACATATGTGTATAGGTTCCCATGGAGGCAAGAAGAGGGCATCAGATACGCTGGAGCTGGAATTACAAATAGCTGTGAGCCTCCTGACATGGGTGCTGGAAACTAAATTTGGGATTTTTTGCAGGAGCAGCAAGCTCTCAGCCACTGAGCCATCACTCCAGCTGCCACCATCCCCTATTTTTTTAAAGGGTTTTGTTTGTTTGATTTGTTGGTTGATTGGTTGGTTTTGAGTAGGGAGAGTGAGATGGCATTTGAGATAGGGTCTCCCTATGTAGTCCTGACTGGCCTAGAACTCTTGCTATGTAGACAAGGCTGACCTTGAACTCAGATTCATCTGCTTCTGCCCTGAGAGCTGGGACTAAATGCATGGACCACCACACATGGTCCCTGTTTATTATTTAACAACGCTTTCTCTGGCTGCTTTTAGTGTTGGGCTGTGACATCTCTGCCCTCCAAGGAAGCAAAAACATGCTTCATGATCTTCAGATGGCGTTCTCCTTCATCTGGGGTCCAGAAGGAGCAAGGGCAGAGAGGCAAGGCTGTGGCTCTGCCCATCTCCTACTCTCTAGAGAAGAGAGACTGGTTCCGCTACAACTACCATGTCAATTCTAGAACTACACTTAGTACTGGAGAGGCTTGCTGGCCTTACTGCTTGTATTGCTTGTATTGGTAGTGACATGCAGTCTGGAAGAGGTGGGAAAACAAATTGGCACAGGTTGGTCCTTCTTATGCTGCATCCTTTGCCTTTTTCTCCAGGTTAATCAGTTGCTGTGGGGCTCTTCACCATCTGGCTTCATGCAATGGCGACCAGTGGCTTTCTCTCAGAAGCAGCGGAACCGAGAATCAGCTGTCCCCTGCCAGGCTTCCTCTCTTCACCCTACCTTGGCTTATTCTCTTCCTTCCTCACCAGTTGTCCAAGCCTTCTTTGGGTCCCAGAACCTCTGTGCCTTCAATCTGACATTTGGGGCTCCCACAGGCCCTGGCTACTGGGACCAACACTACCTCTCCTGGTAAGAACCAAGGATTTGGAGAGGTCAAAGTGGAGAAGAGCTGAGCCCCTCAGCCTTCCTTCCTAAGCTTGCTAACCTTTTTTTTTTTTTTTTTTTAACCTTCTTGCTTTAGGTCAATGCTTCTGGGAATGGGCTTCCCTCCAGTGGATGCCTTGTCTCCACTAGTGCTCGGAATCATGGCAGTGGCCCTGGGAACTCCGGGGCTCATGTTGCTGGGAGGAGGCCTGTTTCTGCTGCTTCGCCACAAGCAGTATTCTGAGTACCAGTCTATAAACTGAAACCCACTCTCCAGAGGAAAGGGCAGGACCACATCTGCCTTGCTGTGCCTCAAAGTGTTGAAGAGTAGAGGGTCAGTGTTGTGATCTGCTTTTCTGCAGAACCTCAGAAGCCAGCCTCAACTTACTGGGGGCTCCCTGGGCGATGTCCTTCCTACCTTAGGGAGAGGCTAGGATTACAAAGGAAGGTGCACCACTGATGCTTCCTTCTCTGTCATTTGCCACTCCGGATTCCCTTGGATAAAACTTGAAGGCCTACAATAAGAACGACTGGTTGGCTGCCCTAAGGGGCATGAAATAGATATTTTTCCCATAAAATATTCTAATTTCTCTCTTATTTTTAAATGAGATATATGTATTTTATTATATTGTGTTTTGCTTGCTTGTATGGATGTGTGTGTGTGTGTGTGTTGCCTGTGGAAGTCAGAAGAGGGCACTAGAGCCCCTGAAACTGGAATTATGGATGGTTGTAAACCACCATATGGGTAAAGGGAATTAAACCAGGGTTCTTTGCAAGAGCAAGTGCTCTTAACCACTAAGCCATCCATCTCTCTAGTCCAGATTCCAATCTCTCTCTCCCTCCCTCCCCTGCCCCCACCTCTCTGAGATAGGGTTTCTCAGTGCAGTCCTGGCTGTCCTGGAACTGACTCTGTAGGCTAGCCTCAAACTCAGAGATTCCCTGTCTGTGTCTCCCGAATGTCGTCGGGATTAAAGGCGTGTACCACCATGTCCGACTGCTTTCAGCAAATAAGAAGACAGAGATAGGCTTGAAAGGCAATTTCTATTTGAAGGCACATTTTCTCACCAATCCCAGTGGTCTCCCCCAAGGCTCTTGTCAGCCATCCTCTTGATGCTTAGGAGTTGACTTGAGGTGGGGGGAGGGGCAGGAAGAAAGAGTCATGGGAGGCGGGCAGTGATTTATTACATACTCACACATATATACTGAGCAAGCAGTCACTCTGCCATCCAGCCACTACATGTGACTATTTACAGTTCTTTTGGAGGTTTCATCCCTCTGCCCCAGCCCCCCACTTTTGTTTTGTTTTGTTTTTCGAGACAGGGTTTCTCTGTGTAGCTTTGGAGCCTATCCTGGCACTCCCTCTGGAGACCAGGCTGGCCTCGAACTCACAGAGATCCGCCTGACTCTGCCTCCCTAGTGCTGGGATTAAAGGCGTGTGCACCACCAACGCCCGGCTTCCCAGCCCCCCACTTTTACAGTGAGATTTCTTGGAAGTCTGAAAAGTGGAAGGTTACAGGGACCCATGTAGGTTGAGAGAGGGACGGCAACAGCTGCAATAGTCTTGACTGAGGCAAAAAAAAGTCTTGAAGCCAGGGATAGAGAGGGTCTTTAATCCAGGCCTCCTAGGGAGGTTTCCATCTAGTGTCAAAGATGTCCTTATCTGATGTGATTCCAAGCTCTACCCTTGGGCTTAAGCCCATCTCCTTGACTTTCATCTATACAGCTGGCAAAGACAGTTGAGGTTGGGCTGCAGCTCTGCACCCCTGGCCCACAGGAAGCTGGGTAGTGAGGTAGCCATCCAGCCTTAGCCTTAGTGTGGCATAGTGAGAGGCCAAGAAGGAAGAGTGTTAATCCAGTCTCAGGCTCTCACACTCCAGGAGTAAAACAAAAGCTAGGAGAGAACTGGGGTATCTGGGCCCCGCTGGATGGGGCCCCAAAGGGCAGTAGCAAGATTCCTCACATTGAAGGTCCACGACCTGGGCAAAGGCCAGGCCTGCAATTGTTTCAGGGAAGCACTGAAATTCCCCTGCACAGCCCCAGGGCAGCTCAGCCCCATGAGCGCGGCCTGTAGTCGGAGATAGATCGCATGTGGTCCGGGTAATCCAAGCGACTCTCAGAGGCAGTGAGCATGCGCTCGGGCTCCACCACGAACATGTAGTAGAGGTTCCACATCAGCATGGCCAACAGCGGCAGGAAAGTCAGCCCATAGCCAAAGCCTCGGAAGGAGCGGCCCACAGCAAAGGTCAACCAGTAAATCAGCCTGTGGGAGCATGACAAGGGTTATCTTCTCTCCAGGACCCAGCCAATCGGTCAGGAGCAGGCGCCATGCTGGTACTACAAACGCCCAGTTAATACATATGCTCCCAATGTTTACTTTCCCACATCTTTGAAGTGAGAATATTATTCCCGTCTTCTCTTTTATTTACTATTTAAAATTAAAGGGGGGGGGGCTGTGAGAGATGGCTCAGTGGTTAAAAGCACTGACTGCTTTTCCAGAGGACCCAAGTTCAATTCCCAGCACCCACATGGCAGCTCACAACTGTCTGTAATTCCAGTTCCAGGTGGTGCGTCACACATAGTCAAAGCACCAATTCAAATAAAATAAAGATTTAAGCCGGGCGTTGGTGGCACATGCCTTTAATCCCAGCACTCAGGAGGCAGAGGCAGGCGGGTATCTGTGAGATGGAGACCAGCCTGGTAGTTCCAGGACAGCCTCCAAAGCCACAGAGAAACCCTGTCTCGAAAAACAAACAAACAAAAAAGTAGGCAAAACTAATTTCATTTTGTTGTTTTGTTTTCGAAATAGGGTTTCTCTGTGTATTAGTTCTGGCTGTCCTGGAACTCACTCTGTAGACCGACTGGCCTCAAACTCAGAAATCTGCCTGCCTTTCTTTCTTCTTCTTCCTCCTCCTCCTCCTTATCCTCTTCCTCTCTCTCTCTCTCTCTTTAATATTCATTTATTTATTGTGTATACAGTGCAGGCCAGAAGAGGGCACCGGATCCCATTACAGATGTTTGTGAGCCACCATGTGGTTGCTGGGAATTGAACTCAGGGCCTTTGAAGAGCAGCCGGTGCTCTTAACCTCTGAGCCATCTCTCCAGCTCCTGGCCAACTAATTTCTTTCTTAATTAAGTTACAATTAAATGTTCATTTATGTGATCCAGAATTAAATGACAATTCAACTTTAATGTTTTCTTCCCCTGTTGGGTGGTATTGCCACATATCTTTAATCCCAGAACTCAGGAGCAAAGGCAAGCAAATCTCTGGTTTTGAGGCCAGGCTGGTCTACAAAGCTGGTTCTAGGATGGCCAGGGCTACACAGAGAAACCCTATCACAAACAAACAAACAAACAACAAAAATTGTCTTCCCTGGCTGGGCGTTGGTGGCTCACACCTTTAATCCCAGCCCTCGGGAGGCAGAGGCAGGCAGATCTCTGTGAGTTCAAGGTCAGCCTGGTCTCCAGAGCGAGTGCCAGGATAGGCTCCAAAGCTACACAGAGAAGCCCTGTCTCGGGGGAAAAAAAAAAAAAAAATGTCTTCCCCTTTTCTGATTCCCATCCTAATCTCCCCAACTCCCACCCTAGGTATCCAGTTCTACAGTTTCTTGATTCATTTCTGTTTTGTAGATACTAACAAAATCTTGTTTGTGGTCCAGGGCCTCACAAAGCTAGGCAAGTGATCTGCCACTGAACTATATCCCCAGCCCCCAGTCCTTCCTTCACCCTCGCAAATGAAGGGACTACAGGCACACTCCACCAGAGCCTTCTGCATGCTAGGCACATAGTCTACAACCGAGCTAACTCCCAGTCCAGTGTCTCCCCTCACTGTCAACTGTTTTGTCTGCTCACTGTTGCTTTGTTGTTGAGTTAAAGCCTCACTATGCAGCCCTGTATGGCCTCAAACATGTCCTGATTCTCTGGCCTCTGCTTCCTGAGTGGAGGCTGGGACCACATGCGGCCCATACTGCTGTGCAACACTGCATTCCCTGAAAGCGCCAGTGTGGTAGTGCAGACTTTTAATCCCAGCACTCAAGAGCCAAAGACAGGTGAATCCTGGTCTACACAGCAAGTTCCAAGACATCTTGAGCTTCTCTCAAACAAAACAAAACAAAGGCTCACTTTCAATAATGGTAGGTTTGAGACCAGCCTGAATTACATATTTTCAGCCAGTGTGGGCTACATTTTCAGATTCTGTCAATAAAATAATATCCCCTGATGACTCCAAATTGAATGAAAAAAAAGTAATGAGAGTGAACTAGCCTCTGGGTAAAGAGTCAGTGCCCTTAACCGAGGTTCTGCTCACCGATGAGCAGATTTCCTGCCAGAGACAAAGGGATCAGAGCCATTTAAACCACTAAAGAGGAGGCTGTTTAAGTGCAGGAATTGATCTGTGTTGTCCAGAGTCTAAATCCAGAAGGTCCATGTCAAGACAGTTCATTTCCTTTCTTTTTGGGGGGCTCCTGGGGGTTGAGACAGGATTTCTCTGTGTGGCCCTGGCTGTCCTGGAACTCATTCTCTAGAGCAGGCTGGCTTGAACTCTTGGCAGTTCTCTTGTCTTAGCCTCCCAAGAACTTTGACTGCAGCAGGCCTGAGAGAGCACTACATCAGCTTTAGGGCAGTTTTTAGCACTGTATAAGGAAGGACTTTCTAGCAATTAGAACTATCAAACCTGGAAAGGGGTGTGGTGGTGATCCCAGCACCTGAGAGGCTGAGACAGGAGGATTGCCAAGAGTTTGTGTCCAGGCTGCATGGTGAGATGTGACTGTCTCAAGCAAAATAAAACCGGAAATGTCCAACATAGCCAATTTTTAAAGCTATTTGTATGGAGTGTCACAGACTTGAGGAGTACCTTCAGTGGGCATACCAAATGACACCTGAGGTTAGGGTGGTCAATCCTGTGCTTAGATGTATGGGGCCATGGATTCCATTCTCGGTACCAAAAAAATTAACATTCAAAAGCTCCCCATCGGCAAGCATCTGAGATCAACTTCTGAAAGGAAGATGGGAGCTGACCACCTGCTTCTCAGCAAATCACAAGAGATATAGGATAGACTAACCACTGCATGGTGCCCCAGCAGCAATCCCCTGACCTCAGATCTCCAGACCTTAGCTCCCTGGAGTCTCTAATACCTTCGCTTCCCTCATGCCTACCCTAGCCATGGCCACCATAGCCCCTACTCACCGAGATATTGCAAACAGACCAGTGAGCAGGGGGAGCAGCTTGAGGTTGTCCTGGGGCAGATAGGTGGAAAGGACGGCCAGATTAAAGAAGTAGAGGATGAAGAGCTGCACGGACTGGGCCACGTACTGACGGTGGATCTCTACTTCCCGCCTTGGCTCTTCAAAGGGCCGGAGGGCAGAAAAGCACAACAGACTCAGGCCGTATACAAGGAGCCCTGGCAGGGGAGGAAGCACACACACGGATGGGGTCAGAAAAGGCAGGAGGGCTGGGGATGGCTTTCTCAGAGGATGGTTCTTGGGTCAGGACTGCCCCAAGCGGTCTCTGGAGGACACAAGCGCTCTCTGGAAGAGGGGGGGCGAAGAGTGGCACAGGTCTGGGATGTCCTGAATGGTTCCAGCAGAATGAAGAGAGACCACCCCAACCAGGCCTCTCTAGTCCACTTCCCAAGTAGCCCTTCTCCACGGCCCGGACTCACCTAGCACGATGGGGAAGGTGGCAAAGACCCCACAGCGTAGGGTGTAGATCAAGCGGGAGCTCATGGTGGGCAGCCTGGGAGCATCGAAGGGCAGGAAGGCGTATGCTCCATACAGCAGGCAGGGGAAGAAAATGAGGGCAGCCACCAACGAGGCTACAGCCCTCAGCGCCTCGCGGCCTCCACAGCTCCCACAGCCCCCACAGGACCGGCCAGGGGGTCTCACAACTGCCTCAGCCCACTTGCACTCCGGAGGCTCGGGGTGGCTGAGTCGGGCTGGCAGGAAATTCCTGCGCTCTGTGCGCTCCTGTGGCCTCCGCTCAATGCACTGGAGGTCAATGGGCACGAAAGCCCTAACTGACTTCTCAAGGAGCAAGTTGGCATCATCTTTGAGTGGTTCCTCAGACTTAGTAGTGAGTGGTTCCTCCAACTTGGTGAGTGGCTCCAACTCTAGGGGCTCTGGTTCAATATCTCGCCAGCCTGGGGGATCTGGAAGTGGGGCGCTGGGGTGAGGGTCAGTTCCCCAGGGCAAAGTCGCGGCCTCACTTATAGTGCTCTCTGGACCCTCCTCAGGCCTCTCTCTGACTATGGGAGACCCAGTTGAAGACCCTACTCTGAGAGACTCAGCTCCAGGGGACTCGGTCCCATCTTCTTCCTCTGGCTGCCGACCAGTGGGGACTAGCACCTGCGGTGGGCTCTTCTCTGGAGCCTCGGGTTCCTTCATTTCCAGCAGAGCCAGTGTCTCCGGTTCCGGTTCTGTCATCGTGAGGCTTCAGTTCTAAGGTCTGGTCCAAGGTGATATCATCCTACTGGAAGTGGGGTAGGTTCTGTGAAAATACCCTGTCTTCTGGCCCCAGAACAGTTAGTTCCTCAAACTGGAACTCACTCATGCAGCCTCATGGACTCTAGGGAGAACACAGCGTGGATGGGGGAAGGCATTGAGACAGAGGGCAGCAGGGGAGGACTGCAATGGAGGAACGATTTCAAAAGAAATGTCACCCAGCAGGACAGGGGTGAGTCAGGGGACACGAGCCCGGGCAGCCTGGCAGCCGTGGGCTCAGTCTACACCCACACCTGCCTTCCATTCTCTGCACCCAAACCCCTGGATTCATGGCCACCCTCTCTTGGGAATGGGAGGAACTTGGCTGAGAGCTTCTCTACAACTGAAAATCACCCTACAGAGAAACTGCCCTTTCACCCTTCCATTTGCCCTTTGCCCTCCAGAACCCTGCCCAGAACTCTCTTGGCAACCGAAACCAGTTGCCAGATTCTTAGTCCCCAATTCCAGGAACCAGTCACTTTCCAAACTCCCCTCTCAAGAGTCTCACCCTTCAACCAGGCTGGGCTCCACTCAGACTTTCAGCTCCAGTGTGGCTGCTCCCATGCCCTCCTCTTGTCTTTCTTAACCCCTGCCACCCACCGGCCCACTGCTTCTGGTTAGGGCTGTTTCTCTTCATTCACCTCTAGGGCCCCTCCTACCCCCCTGCCCTTTGGACCCATGATACCCTCTTACTTTACACCTGTGGAGAGGCGGAGGATCCCCGGAAAGGAACTGCCTAGCTCCTGGCTGGCTCTGCAAGTATTTCCCAGTCTCCCTCCCCTTGCCTGTGACTCCAAACCTGTCTGACCAGAGCAGGTGGGGCCCAGATTAAAGGCACAGGCCCTGCCCTACAGAATCTGCCGACAGGAAGAGCTCTAGAGGAGGACGTCATCCTTTTTGAAAGTGAGGGTGCAGCTGGACATAGAGGTGTGGTCTTTAGGTGTTCTGGGATGTGTAAGAGCTTCCAGGTCAGGAAGCATCAGGGGAAAAGTGGGTTTGTACGCCAAAGGGCACTTACAGTAAGTTGGGGAAAAGATGCCTTGTAAGTTTGTTCATTCTGTAAATGTTTATTGAGTATCTGTCGGTTTTGGAGACTGTCCTGGAACTCTCTTTGAAGACCAGAGGCTGGCCTCGAACTCAGAGATCCGCCTGCCTCTGCCTCCCGAGTACTGGGATTAAAGGCGTGCACCACCAACGCACAGCTTCCTTCTTGCTCGTTTTCTTCTCTCTCTTTCCCGATGTTCCCCTGTGGACAGACAGGACTTTTTCTGTCTCCTTCTTCTCTTCTGTCCTCTCTCTGTCTCTGTGTCTCTTTACCTCCCCCCCCCCACACACACACTTTCCCTTTCTAATAAAACTTCTCACTAAGCTCTGTCTGCCTGTCATGTTTGTTCCTCTGCCTCGGTCACCCTCACCTGCCATGGAATCCTCGAAAGGTTTACCACACTTTATCGTAACACCCAGAGCTACATAGAAAGACCCTATCTCAAAGCAAAAACAAAAATTCCAACAAACAAAAAAAGTGCTATTTTAGGCACAGGTACAGAAAAGAACTAGTGACAATCAAGGTTTCTAGCTATTGGGGGTAACAGACATTAAAAATTCACACTGAGCCTGGCAGTGGTGGTGCATCCTTTTAATCCCAGCACTGGGGAGGCAGAGGCAGATGGAAATTTGTGAGTTCGGGCCAGTCCGGTCTACAGAAAAAATTCCAGGACAGCCAGAACTACGCAAAACAACAATAACAACTACAAATCACACTGAATCAGTATGAGAATTTCAATACAGAAAGCTTCTTTAAGGTGGCATTTAAGTCAAAACCCAATGGGAACTCAGGAGTATGACTGTTGCTTGTAGAGGAACCACGAGGCAAAAGCCAACAGATGGGAAAGACTTCAAGCTGTTTTAGGAACAGAAAGAAGGCTTGGTGGCTGGAGCCAGGAGCACAGTGGTGTGTGTATTGCCATGATAATGTAGACCCATACAGGCCCATACAGGACACCTTGCTTTTAGCTTAGGTTCATGGTTAAGAAAGCAATAGGGCTGACAAGATGCCCTACCAGGTAAGGGCACTTATGACCAAGCCTGATGACCTGAGTTTGACCCCTGGGACCTACATCGTGGAAGGAGAAAAGTGACTTCCCCAAGTTCGCTGCCCACCACAAGTGTGCAGTGAAACGCATGCATGCATGTATACACGTAAATGAATGTAGTGTTTCAGGGAGGAATTCCTTAAACAAACCATCAGCTTGCAGCGCTCAGCCCACACCCACGCTGGGATTTTGGCTGACCTGGTAGTGTGTGCAAGCCCTCACGGGGACCGTGAAGAGCTCCTGAGTGCAAGCCGTCACGGGGGCGTGAGGAGCTCCTGCGTGCAAGCCGTCACAGGGGCAGTGAGGAGCTCCAGCTTGCAAGCCGTCACGGGGGCATGAGGAGCTCCAGCGTGCAAGCCGTCACCGGGACGTGAGGAGCTCCAGCGTGCAAGCCGTCACGGGGGCCGTGAGGAGCTCCTGCATGCAAGCCGTCACGGGGGCCGTGAGGAGCTCCTGCGTGCAAGCCGTCACGGGGGCCGTGAGGAGCTCCTGCGTGCAACGGCGCTGGCGCTGCCGTGTCTGGCAGATGCTGTTTTGATGCTCATCGCCACTACCTTCGCCGCCCCTCTTCTGTAACGGTTTCTGTGTCTTGGGGGTAGCTGTCCTATTTAATTCAATTTATTTGTGTGCATTGGTGTTTTGCCTGCACGCGTCTGCATGAGGGAGTGGGAACTGGAACCGGAGCTGCCATGTGGGTGCAGAGAATCGAAACCACTCCATAGTCTCTTTTTCCCCCCCTGGAAACCTGGTTGGTTGGTTTTTAATCACATTTTATCATGGGGTGGGGCATGTGTGGAGGTCAGCACAAACTGCTCGAGCCCATTCACTCGCACCATGTGGGCTCCAGGGGCCGAGTGAGCGTAGGCTGACCGCAAGCGCCTTGACCGCTGAGTCATCTCTCCAGCGCGCTCTTTTTAAATTTTTTATCTTACGTATCTTTTTGAAAGTGTCTCGCTTGGTAGCCTGGGCTCCCTAAGTGCTCGAACGACAAGCCTGCTCTGGCACGCCCGGTTTCTCTGACAGTACAGCTCTCCTCGAGGACTTTTCGGACGCCCGGCAGAAGCCACGCCGCCCAGAGTCACTTCGGGTAACTTCCCGGAGAGAAAATAATTTTTTCGCGAGA